CTAAGATGAGCAGAGGAGCTACTCAAGGCCAGAAAAGAAAGCAAGGTAGGGGAAGCAAGCGTGTTTTTCTTGCTTTAGACGCTCCTGCAAGAGATGACCTCACTTTTCGTAATAAAGGGTATCCAAAACATCAGCCAGCAAAACGTCCATTGACACCCTTGGTCCAAATTCCTGGCCTTCACTTTCCACGCTCGTTCATATGTGACTCTATGCACCTCGTCTTCATCGGAGTAACCAGAACGCTCCTTCCATCTCTGTTCTTGGCTGGTCCCTACATGTTGAAGCCATCCCTGCTAAAAATGTTCCATGTGGATTCACGTGGAAATGACCCGATTTCCATGTGATTTCATGGAAATCGTCTGACTTCCATGTCCTTCGACATGGAAATCATAACGTTTCCATGAAACTCACATGGAAACCAAGTCATTTCCATCAAGCCGTCATGGAAATGAAAACATTTCCTTGTGAGCTCGACATGGAAATCATAACGTTTCCATGCAACTCACACGGAAACCAAGTCATTTCCATCAAGTCTTCATGGAAATGAAAATATTTCCTTGTGAGCTCGACATGGAACTCATAACACTTCCATGCAACTCACACGGAAACCAAGTCATTTCCATCAAGCCTTCATGGAATTGAAAATCCCCTTCTCAGTTCGGCATGGAAATAAAAATTGCGGATTTAAACATGAATTTCGCGGCTTTAAAATCTTTCAATTTTTGGGCAATTCTAAACTGGACATACGCTCCGACATGCGCAACATGCGAAAATTACACATCGGAGCGTGAGTGTCGCGTTTGAAGCATAACTACGATGTTGAAGGCGCTCCGCAAGGTGCGCGCCAAGGAATTATACTCGGTATACGGTTCAAACCAGAGATGCAAGATTTTATATGTAACTTCATAAAATGAAATTTCGTGAATTCCAATCATTTTTGAAAACTTCTGTGCTATGGGCTCATTATGACATGAAAAGGAAAAATCTTAAGTTTTGGAAGGGGGGGGGGAAATGAAGGGAAAAAGGAAAAAACCGAAAGAAGAGCTATACGATCATTGTTGCGGGTTGCATTAGCAGTCAAATTTTTTCTTCTCAGGCGTATGTTTAGAAAGGAGGTGAAGAAGATCCCCATATCAGGGTGATCGAAAAAAGTCTCAATTTTGGTCATCACTTAAGTACTTTTTCATCAGAAGGTAGTGTTTAGCATGTTATGTTTTTATCTTCAGTTATTAAATCCTCTAAATTTTTTTGTAAAGAATTTGAAAAGAATTGCTGGAACCAATTTTTTTTAATGATATGATTTCGATCTCAGCCCCTGAAAATCAAGTACCTGAAATTTTATGAAGCTCAATAATTAAAGAAATGTGCCAAAATGTATGATGGATAAAAGCTTAGTATGTACTTACATCTACACTCAAGTGAAAGCAATAATAAGCACAATAATCTTAAAAAGTACATGGTGTACTCAAAGCTCCTTGATGAAAATTAGGGCCACCCTTTCAGACATACTTTGTGGGCAGGCCATCTATGACAGCCATGGGAACTTGTTTGACGGGTATATGTCAGTATGTAATTGATATCAGCGCATAGACCTTCTTGGACTTGTAGGATTTTCTATATCATAGCAGCGTAGTTTTTCAAAGTTCGCATGTTAGCAGTTCCAAACCCACATGTATCTTCCACTAGGCATGTGTAAAGAGAATCTTTCAGCTAAATATGCATCATGCAAAGTAATAATGGATGACATCTGTCATGCAGACATACTCAATAAAATAGAAAATGAACAAACAACACTCACCAACTCGCTCAAGTCTGTAATCCACTGGGTCAGAAAAATCCACTTGAAGACAATGAATCCAAATTTCCGATTAGAACTGGTGCAGGTACGAAGGAACTTTTGAAAACACGATGAGTGCATTGTAAAAATATCTAAAGCACTCTTTAACGTAAGAGAAAAATTAGCACCATGATTTAATAGCTGATCAATACAGAACACCACTCTCAGAAAAGCACTGACACAACACGATTTTTCAGTTTAGTTTTAGAGGAGAAAGCATTTTTCAAAAGATGCGACATCATAGATCCACAGCTTAAATAATTTCACGATTTACTACGATCATTGATGATATTAAGGTAGCCATCGATTCTCTACCCGACGTTCCTTCCACACATGACAGGAAACATCTACAGGCATAGAGCAAATGGCACTGAGCAGCAATGTACATCTGATAAGGCAAGCTCCTGGAAGTGTCGATCTGCAAAAATACAAAGCGGGAGACAGATCATCAAATTGATCTACCTATGGTTAATGGCCGTCCTTGGAGACAGACAATAAACTACGTAACAATATATCAACCACCTTTTGATAACAGAACGAATTTAAAATGAGAGCAAGACCCTTCCTTATGGAGGGAGGGCCAAGAAACATTTAAAAACGGAACATTTTACTACTTACAGGTCTGAGCCACTGAATATAATACATTCCACCAGTCAATAAAATTTTAAATTTTGAATGTTGATGGATAACCTGATTGCCAGTATACATTGAGTTGAAACATCTGATACGTAGAGCGGTTCATTCTCATAGAAGCTTTCGTAAGTAGTTCCAGATAGGTACTTTAAAATTAGACACCGGTCAAATGTAGTACAAGAGAGGAAATGGGTGCAACAAAACTTTAATTGTCCTTGATTCTTTTGAAGACACAAGGAAAATGCAGGCAGTATGAGGATGTTCCAACAGACTACCTATAGCACTCGCCTGCAAGAGTTGGGAAGTTTCTACTTGTGATGAAGTCCGCGGATAATAAGATTTGCACTTAGAGAGTGCAACAGAAGATCCACCATCTTGATTCTGGTCTTTCCCTTCAATGCTAAATAGATGAAAGATTATCTCCCTTCCCACGGAAGGAGTGGATAGATTTATTAGACGTAGACTCTTCGATCAACTTCGTAACCACGGTTAGGAATAGCACATGGTAGTAAATGCATTCGCAAACCAAGAGAATAGAATTCACAATTACCTCGCTCGTTAGAACATATCGACTGAATCGTAAATCGGCAAAGAAAATTAAACTCGAGTTACTTGATCAGTATAGCTTGACATGACAAATGTGTAATGTAAGTACAAGGTGACAGGCTCATACTTAGGTGTGTCCGTCGTCAAGAAGTGAAAGAGAGATAATTTACCTGTGTTCGATGAAACTGAGTATAGTCAAGTAGACGCCGATAATACAATCGATTCTTCGTTAAGAATCATGAAAAGTAGATCAAATTAAGTTTTCATTTTGAAATTCACGGCATGGCATGGCTTGGCTGGCTGGGTGGATTGAATTGAAATTGAAAAATGGTCCGGCCGGAGTTCCGAGTGCGAGTTGGACATCGAACAGTTGGACGAGGGACCATTCCGCGGTTCCGCCTTTTGCCTTTTTATCGAGGTTGCGTATGAAAATGAGTGAAAATCAGCCGCTATAATGATTATAGAAAGCCAGTTTTTGTATTTTAATCCTTTTGAAAACATTTGCCTGATAATTATTTAGATAATAAATACAACCCTGGAAGTATCGGCAAGGAACGATTATTCCAGGAACTAGGAACATCTTCACAAAAGTTAGGTTATATTTATCTCTCACATCACCACATCACCTCAAGTAAGTAATTTAATGAATAATTTTTCACTTTCACACCTTTCACAAAAGAATCAAGGACAATTAAAGTTTTGTTGCACCCATTTCCTCTCTTGTACTACATTTGACCGGTGTCTAATTTTAAAGTACCTATCTGGAACTACTTCGGAAGCTTCTATAAGAATGAACCGCTCTACGTATCAGATGTTTCAACTGGTTTCAACTCAATGTATACTGGCAATCAGGTTATCCATCAACATTCAAAATTTAAAATTTTATTGACTGGTGGAATGTATTTTATTCAGTGGCTCAGACCTGTCAGTAGTAAAATGTTCCGTTTTTAAATGTTTCTTGGCCCTCCCTCCATAAGGAAGGGTCTTGCTCTCATTTTAAATTCGTTCTGTTATCAAAAGGTGGTTGATATATTGTTACGTAGTTTATTGTCTGTCTCCAAGGACGGCCATTAACCATAGGTAGATCAATTTGATGATCTGTCTCCCGCTTTGTATTTTTGCAGATCGACACTTCCAGGAGCTTGCCTTATCAGATGTACATTGCTGCTCAGTGCCATTTGCTCTATGCCTGTAGATGTTTCCTGTCATGTGTGGAAGGAACGTCGGGTAGAGAATCGATGGCTACCTTAATATCATCAATGATCGTAGTAAATCGTGAAATTATTTAAGCTGTGGATCTATGATGTCGCATCTTTTGAAAAATGCTTTCTCCTCTAAAACTAAACTGAAAAATCGTGTTGTGTCAGTGCTTTTCTGAGAGTGGTGTTCTGTATTGATCAGCTATTAAATCATGGTGCTAATTTTTCTCTTACGTTAAAGAGTGCTTTAGATATTTTTACAATGCACTCATCGTGTTTTCAAAAGTTCCTTCGTACCTGCACCAGTTCTAATCGGAAATTTGGATTTATTGTCTTCAAGTGGATTTTTCTGACCCAGTGGATTACAGATTTGAGCGAGTTGGTGAGTGTTGTTTGTTCATTTTCTATTTTACTGAGCATGTCTGCATGGTCCAAATATCATGTGCTCCCATTGGGACGCTTGTCTCCTTTGTCTTGATTCTAAGATTTATTTAATTTCCGTGAGCAATTTGGATGGTACTGAAACCTTCTTGTGATCATTTTTATGCAAATGGTTTTCTTTCCATGAAAAATTGTCACGGAAATGATTTCGTTTCCATGAAAAATTTTCACGGAAATGATTTCGTTTCCATGAAAAATTTTCATGGAAATAAGCCACATGGAAATCAGCCACACGGAAATCAGCCACATGGAAATATTTCCTGTTCCATTTTTCCGTGTCATTTTTTCATGGAAATCAACTTCATGGAAATCATCCACACGGAACATTTTTAGCAGGGATCTCTGCGTTTGCAAGTTCAAAGGAAACTGGAGGAGTGTATTCATTTTATTCCATCTGATTTTCAAAGGAAACCGGCTGACATAAGGAATGTTGGAGGGTGTAAAGCAGCTGAAAGTCGCCTCTACCTTATGTACTTAGGACCTGTCATATTGAAAAATTCTCTTGACAAAGAGAGATACATTCACTTCATGGAATTATCAATTGCAATGAGGATATACCACCATGCATCATTCTGCGCTGATGATGGGACAAGAAAATTTGCTGGAGAATTACTGAGACATTTTGTTTGGCGATATCCTCAACTGTATGGAGAAATTAATGTTTCACACAATGTTCACACTTTGCAGCATCTTCCTGATGACATAGAGTGGTTTAAAGAAAGTATTCCTGATTTCACACTTAGTGATATTAGTGCCTGGGCACCAGAAAACTTTAACCAAGTTTTTCGCCGGTTCACCCGTGGATATTCCAAAACATTGCAGCAAAACATTAGAAGGCTAGGAGAACTTTTCCAAACAGATTTTTGGCGCAATAAATACAAGAAAACAAGTGCAGTATCAGAAGTTCAATTTGAAAATGAACACAAGTCTGGGCCACTGCTCATTTCTCTCCAGGGGCAGCAGTTCAAGAAAGCAAGTTTCCCAAATTTCCAACTGTGTGTAAATCAGGCTGATTCGACTTGTGGCACAGAAAGCGGTGATGTAATTGTTGTCTCAAACTTTGTCAGTGATGCAATCACAAAGGAAAAATTTGTTGTTGGAAAAAAATTTGAATTAAAGAGTGAATTTTTCAACGAGCCATTGCCAGAGAGCAAGAGACTTGGGATCTACAAAGTTGCAAGACTGTCAAGCAAAGTTGATAAATGGCCAGTTTCTTCTATAACATCTAAGTTTATCAGACTCCCGTACGTAAAAGATGAAACTATCCCTCAACAGTTCCAGCAAAAACAATTTGTCGTCCTTCCTATTCTCCACTCTGAAGCTGGGCCGACCACTTCTTAAATCCACCGTCTCGCTCAAGTCATGTGAGTACTCACCCTCACCGTGTAAACTTTGTATACACTTTTTCCTCTGTATTATGCGACTAAATTGCTTACTATGCAGTGCTTACTATCTTCCAAAATTCATCAGGACATAACTGACTGTCTCATTTGATGCGTAGTGCTTTATTAATTCTTTTGATATGCTTTTTTGCCCTTGATAGGAGATAAGACCAAGATAATTTTAATTGTATGAGTACTAGCTTGAATATTGTTTGCGGTTTATAGGCGTGTTTGCCAGTGTCTTGTTTTTTCACCTCTATTATTTTTAGTATTATCGTATTTTGCCTTTGATTTGATTAGTCTGTCAAGGGATAGATCTATTTTATCTCTCTCCACCTCCATCCCCCGCTTTTCCCCCTATTCTAATAGCTTGCAGGTTGATCTCATCCCCATTCAACCCGTCTATTGTAACTGCTTAGCAATTTGCTCTGCAAATATTAACAGGCCGCTCAGCTTAAGAAATGGAAACATTGAAAGCACTTGAAAGCTGAATGCCTTACGCAGGGGTGCAAAACTTCTTCGACCAAACGACCTATCTGGTCGCGGTCGGTCGCAATAAAAATGTGAAGGCCGCCGAAAAGGGGTTTTCGAAATGTGAAGGCCGTCAATGGTGTGGAATATCCAAGGTTTAAGGTGCAAAAAGGGAAAAGAAAGTTGAATGCGCTACTTTTTGTCGTTGTAATTTTTTTTATCTATTTTAAACCTCAGTACTATCAGTCAATATCTTAGGATTGACAGGGGATGATAATCTCCAAAATCCAACAATCTGAGGATTGTCAAAAATGGTGGAGAGTTTGGGGATTAGCAACCCCTATGGATTGATTCAATATTTTTTCGCTTCTATGTAGTTTAGTTAATGGCATTAGTTAATCTTTTCCTTTCAGCTTTTACTAATTTGTACAGTCTTCAGGTTTCCTTGTATTTTGATGTAAGTTATTTAGCTGTATCACATCCTCATTTGCTGAATTCTTGGCCGTAATAAATCAAATGGGTGAACGCCTCTGCTGCTATGAAAACATTTACTCACCCTGCTTTTTAATCTTTCACCTCTGTCTTACTACTTTCATTAGGCCAAAAATGTGTGCACATTTTCACTGCATTTATTGAAGAGAAAGCATTGTTTCCTCTTCTTTTCTTTTTTTCTTTCTTATTTTAGAAACAACATTCTGGCCTCAAATTTCTTTGCACAGGTAGAACCTTTGGTAAACTTGCCTTGCACCAGGTTCCTTTTTTCAAAATGCTTTCATTCAATCTTTTTCACAAGGACCTTCATTGCCTATTGTTTTGTCATTCATACTGCTGGCAGCTGGGAACTTTTGCATTTAATGATGAACTTAATTTAAAATTCTACATTTTATCTCGAGCCATAAATTGCATGGTGAAGATTTTAGCACCTCAAATACCATAACTCTCTAGGCCTGACACCTTGAGTAATCCTAAATTTTATCTCTTGAGACAATACAAGTACGGTGACAATTCTAGCATCATAAATATCACTGCTTCTTAGACACAACTTATTGGGTAAGGATTTTTAAGAATTTTCATGTGAAAAAGAGAATCATGGCCACCTTAACCTTTTGATATTTTTTGCATAGCTATATCTTTGCTTACATAGCTACAATCTCTTTGCTGGCATCCTCGTCAAAGCTGTCTCTGTATTATTATTATTTATTTATTTTTGATTTGTGGTTTCAGGAAATCAGTAGTGAAACAGCCCAGCAATGAACCCTTATCTCATTCAAGGAGGATGGAAAAGACTGTTATGATGCCGTGCCAAGTAAATGGGTCGATGATGAAAATTCCGAATGTGTGTATCCAGACCCAGACAAGACGTCACTAAAAGATCTTAATTCTATGGCTCTAAGGTGTGTTGAGCCCAGATCCGAAGGTGCTTCGTGGATCACGCTTAACAATATTCAAATTATTAAGCAACCGTACTGTAAGTATTATTAATTATTGATTTCACTCAACGTCAATTTTTTTTACAGATGCTAGCATTGTTCATGAAAAGCTTTTCAATTTTTAGTTACTGTTGCTTTAACATGGTACCCACTGCATTCGCTAATGTTTCACATACTGCATTCTCATATTCACATGAGTATGTGACGCTAACATTTTCGGTCTGCATAACTATTCTAGATTACGTTGGAAATTTGGCATAAATGACAGTGTAGACCTAAAATGATACAGAAGGAAGCACAAAGTCCTACCCTCAAAATTTTCATAATGGCGGGCGTTCATCTCCATTTTCATTTTCCCCCTATTTAAACACATTTAAATATCCTGAAAATGAAACTATGTTTTGCCCAACATAATTGTTCTCCAGCAAAAATAGGCTCGCTTTATTTCTTTAAAAGCGGAGTGGATGTAAGGAGTAATACTTGCAGAGTGAATGACCAGGATGTAGGGGGCAGAGCCCCCTGACCACTTGCAATGGCTAGTGCATTCTATAAATATTTTGGATGGCAAGAGTGATTTAATCAGGCAACAGTACCCCCTGAGAAAGACTCTACGCAATACAAATAATTTGGATTTGATCTGTTACTGTAACTTATTATGTATCCTCAGTAGTATTTTAAGCTTTAAACTTTTTTTTTAAATTTGCAACCTTCAGAAATTTTCTTTTCTTTTTCTTTTTTCCAGGGAATTTTGACAAGTGCCGTAAGGACATGGTTCGGTTAACGAATAAAAAAAGAACAGCCGAGGAAAGTGAAGCTGAAAGAGCAGGCCAAAAACGTCGAAGAGTGACTGACTACAAAAAACTGTCGCAACCCACAATCGATTTTCCAGTACTCACTGGTAAACCAGCTTCCAAAGCCATCAACCAAAGCTTGAAAAACCAAAGTCAACAACCAGGTGATGATAATAATCTCTCCAGAAGTTCTTCAAAACAGAAGTCTTTCAGTCAGGATCCTGGTCAGAAATGTAGGTCTTCAACAAGTGGCAAAGGTAGTGAGAAAACACATTCGGATTCAGCGAAAACTTCCGCAAACATCTCAGGAAAGTCTGTCAAACCCTCCAACAGTTCTAAGAACAAAGATACTCCACCTAAAAGTAGCGCATCACAATCCGCAACAGATGGAAAACTCCAAATTTCTAAGGAAGCGTCTACGAATGTTGACCCTAAATCCTCAACAGGTGCGACAGGTTCAAAGAACAAAGTTACTCCACCTAAAAGTAGTGCATCGCAATCCGCAACAGATGAAAAACTCAAAATTTCTAAGGAAGCATCTAGGAATGTTCATCCTACATCCTCAACAAGTGCAACAGGTTCAAAGAACAAAGTTACTGCACCTAAAAGTAGCACATCAAAATCCTTAACAAGTGGAAAACTCCCAATCTCAAAGGAAGCATCTAGGCGTCGCCCTCACGACGAAGGGGCGTATCATCAAAATTGGACATTTTGAGTTATGAATGGATCCTTCTTCACCTCAAGCTCCTTTTTCCATTGAGTCTTGTTTGAAAGCTCAACTCTCAATATTAACCGAGTTATTGAGGAAAAACAAATAGGCGTAACATAAGAAAGACCTTTTCTGGGTACGGCGAACGGGCGCATCATAAAGCGAACGCGACTACCTGACCTCTTCTCAATGATACGTCCTCGAAAATCAGGCCCTTTCGGTTCGCGCGACACAATATGCCCGTCACTCACTGATCGGGTGTGTTTCTCAGTTATTGTTTCAGTATTTTGTTATTCCTGCTATAGATTTTAGACCAATCTGGCGGTATTTTTTATATTTGTCGGCGTGTTTTAATGCTACAGCCTAAAGAGCTCTTTATTGTTATTGGTCAGGAAACCTAATTTGTCGGGTGTTTCGGTAAACACGATTCGTATTGTCAGTTGGGATTCTTTGATTTCGATGGCTTTTCGCCTCTTAATTTAGGTTTGACAGGATATTCTGGGAAAATATCTAAATTGTCCGGGGGTGTATAGACGGTAAATGTCAAAAGATTCTCAACTAGGTCAAGATTTTTTCAGTTTCTATTTACATGCCAATAAACACTTGGCTAGCTCTAATTGTTTTCTTTTGACGACGTATGAAATGTAATCATGTTCGGTTTTCTTTGTCTTTCACCTACAATTATAATGAGTGTAATTACAATCGACTACTATCGATGTTTGATTTTTTGATTTTTTAGGCATTCTCTTGCTTTATCGTTTAAATAGACGTTCATTATTCATATTTAACTTCATTGTTCTAATTGTCCAGACACAGCTTTTACCACCTGGCCATCAAGAGTAAGCAAAATGAAGTGTTTTCAATTGAATAAAAGAAAAAATCTTTCCGCCGTTTTGTTCAGATAATGAGATTTCAATATTCAACATATCAAAGCTTTTGGTAAGATTATTAATTTTCAGTGATTAAGGATGACAAAAATACATTTGGAGTGGCAAGGAAAACATTATTTTTAAACACTTCAAGTTGCGAGCTCTTATTGATCAAAAGTAAATGCAGTTAATGAAATAGCACTCGTCGTGTCAGAAATACAATTAAGCATCCTAATGCAGTCAATTTTAACAGTTAACATTATTTCGTCATTTGCGAATGAAAAAAATTATTTTACTTTATCTTTTAAAATGAAATGTCATAGTCTGCCATGAAATTGAAATATTGGCACATCTCTTTGAATTTAAACCTCTTTTTTTTCTTAAATTTTATTATCAAGGCATTGTTTTAACTTAAACAGCTGTAAATTAAAGTATGTCAAACTATCAAGAAGGACATAAAATATATACTCTTATGTACATTACTTCAGTATAGATTCCTTTAAAGTCGTATTAATAAGACACTGCTTTTGAAAATTCTGATTAAATATACGCTCTCTTGATATTTTTCATTTTCATAACCTTTTAGAAATCTCAAAAAGGATGTACCTTAAACCATAGTAAATATATAGAACTGACCACCTAGAAAAATCGCGGAAGAAAAATCAAACTCAAAGAAAAGAAATTAAGTGAAAGAACTAACAAGTGAGGAATGAAATAGGGGAAGATGTAGCGCAACAAGATGATACGCCCGCCGAGAGGACGCGGCGGAGCAGCGGAGGTGCCCAATTCAGTATTCCGCCAACGGGCGTATCAGGACCCTTTTCTAATATTTCAATGATATCACGGCTTCTAGGCATAATTTTACAAATTCAATGTGATATTTAAAATCCTGATCTTTTTCCGGCGCTGAATGCGAAAAAAAAATCAGATACGTTAATTAGGGACGTAGCGGCGAAGGAATTAAGTTCTTTAAAATCTTATTTTTGCTCTCCTGAAAAGTAGTCAAAATCTTGATACGCCTCTTCGTCGTGAGGGCGACGTAGGGATGTTGATCCTAAATCCTCAACAAGTGCAACAGGTTCAAAGAACAAAGTTACTCCACCTAAAAGTTTCACATCAAAATCTGTCACAGGTGGAAAACTCCTAATCTCAAAGGAAGCATCTAGGAATGTTGATCCTAAATCCTCAACAGGTGCAACAGGTTCGAAGAACAAAGTTGCTCCAACTAAAAGTCTCACATCAAAATCCGTCACAGGTAAAAAACTCCTAATCTCAAAGGAAGCATCTGGGACTGTTCATCCTACATCAGCAAGTAGCGTATCTTCAACAGGTCCAACAGATACACCATCAAATTGCAATAAGAAAGCTGCAAAAGTGTGCTGCCCGGCGCAAGGCGATGACCACAATTGTCCGTGGGCTGCAAATGGGAGCATTACTCTGGAATCGCTGGCCCAAAGCGTCTGCCTTATCTCAAGTAAGTTTTTCAGTTCGCTCAATAAAATTAGGAATATACCCTTTTGCAATATCTGCAGTAGCAGTTGACTCGGAAAACTTTACCACAGTTCAAAAATTTTTTTTAACAGGGCAAAATCATAAAAACCAATGATTGTAATAGTTCAAAATTAGTCAGAAAATTGTTCCAAAACCTGCGAATTTCATGACATTTTTGGTGCAGCTGTGTATCGTCCAAAAAAGTGCGAGAGATCAAATAAAATAAGTGGAAGAATACTATTGAAATGTAATGGGAGGTGGGAGAATTTTGTATTTCTTTCTAACCGGACTAAACCATTGCTTTCTCTTTAAAATGTCATTTGCTTCACATGTGGTTGCTTGTGCAGAGGACATTTGGATTGGGTGCAAAATAGTTGTGAAAATTGAAAGATTTGAAACTGCAATTCTTTCTCCTTTTATCTTGGTAAAATACTCTTTTTGTTTTTCTTCTTTTTTTGGTTTTGTTTTTTTTTTTTTGCTTATCTGCGCATAATTCTAACAGCCTCATTTGATTTTAGGGTTTCAAGTTATCTGTCACAAAGAGATCATGAAAAAGCTGGAGGAAACCCCTTCTACCGCTAAACATGTCGCCCCCAGAAGAGTCATCAAAGAGGAGGATGTTGATCTCAAACTCTTAGAAAACCTGCCTCTTGCGAAACGTAAACACATGAAAGACCTAAATGAGAAGCTGAAATCTCCCACCGTCAAAGATAAATTTGTAAGTATATACCGGTATTACGAATCATGGCTTTTACTTTTTTTTCATCTGCCTAAATTCAATGGAGTCCATAGTTATGTCTGTTGTACTTACGGCATTGAGGGGATGCAATGGGGAGGGGGTTGTATCAACTCTGCCCTGGATTTGAGGCAGAAATCAGTGAAAGCTGTAAGTTCATCTTGAGAATTTTATGGAAAAGCAAAGATAATGTGTTCCGTAAGCAGTTTATGCCGTTGGTGTTATCTTTCTCCTCACAATGCTAATGAGTATTGTCAAAATGGTTTTCGTCATATAAGTATCAAGTGTCTCTTGAATCTTAAAAGAACAATAAGGGCAAATGAATTCAAAAAGTTAAATTTTGCCCTTTCAGTTTTACACCATTACAGTAGCAGGGAGTCAACAAAAATTGTGGAGAAATTGTGTAAATCTTGCCAAAAACTCTTAATTGTTTGTATTTAATATTAACACAAAACCAAGAAAATGCTAAGAGCAACGGAGATGGATTTCTGGAGGAGGTCTGCTGGAATTTCTAGGAGAGATCGGGTCCGCAATGAAAGAGTGCGTCAGATCATGGGAGTCGAAAATGACATCATATTCGACGTCATGACCAGACAGCTTGTCTGGTATGGTCATGTCAATAGAATGACGGACGAAAGGCTGCCAAAGAAGTTGCTTGATTGGGTTCCTCCTGGAAGGAGACGAAGGGGACGCCCAGTGAAAGGGTGGCGACAGGGGATTTTAGAAGAAATGAGGGTTTGTCAACTCCCTGAAGGGCTTTGGGAGGATAGGGGACTTTGGCGGCTAGGGGTCGCAGAGCGCCAAAGAGCGCTATAAAAGCGACTTTATACATACATACATACCAAGAAAATCAGTGGAAAAGGAAGGAAATCCTGTCTCAAGTATATTTCCTGCCTGAAGAGAAACTAAAATTTAATTTTCATGCGACTTTACTGTAAAATTTTATCAAAAAATATTTAATAATCTTGTTGCTTCACTTCAAAATTTTATGTTATCATACTTTGAAGGAGGTCTTCTTTTTTATACATTCTGACTCAATTTCAATTTCTGCTTTGAGTTTTTTCTCCTCCTTCTGGACTCACTACTAACGAGGCAAGTTTTGATTTCCTTTTAACAAAGATTTCAGAGGAAGGATTGAAATTTAACTTTAAAACTAGTGTCTCTCCTTTCACTTTTTTAGATAACAACACTCATCAGGAAAAAGGTTACCAAACCTCTGCTGTATCCTAATTACACTGCTCGTTGCGTTATGATTAACCTTATAGCACCATGCAAGACTGAACTGTTCACATGGGACGGGAAAAAAAGAGGTGGCGTGGTCAAAATAGGATTCAAAAAAATGGAATTTAAGGATGTTGTTTTTGGTAAGTAATGTATATTTATTTTATTTACTATTCAAATTTTAACTATATCATCTCTATTCCTAATTTCATCTCTCCTGTTTTTTGGATAGACACGTGAAAAGAAGAAACACAAAACCCAGTAAGAGTAAAAGCGCCATCAGCTGTTGTTCATATTGTGTATGGTGTTTCTCACTGTAAAAGAACTTATATGCCTTTGCTTTCAAGACTTTCAATTGGGAAGTTTTCTATAAATGTTGATCTTATTTTCAGGACAAGAATAGAGATTTTGCACCTTCTGATTTTTAGATTTGATCCTTTTGTCATAATATATTTATTACCGTTAATATTTTTCCTAAAAAGTAACCAAGGATATCCTCATGCTCAACTCTCTCAGTAGTTTCCATTTTTAACTGAAATTTATCAGATTTCAGACCCCTGCAAATTTTCCATTTTTATTCTGAGGCTACTGCATTCCCCATTCAACGAAAGAAACAGTTGCCCTATCTTAGCTACACCTGATGCCGCTTACCAAGTTTTGAATTTCCACTCTTCACTAGTCAAAGGAAAGAGCCTCTTTACCTAAATGCTTCTGTAAATGGCAGAAAGCAAAGAATTCTAACTCTCGCTGAAACAGTACCCAGTTGTGGAGTAATTTGACTGCATCATTCAACGTCTTATCACACAAGAAGTATCCCTAATTATCCTTCTTGAAATTTTTTAGCTACTTTTCCTCAGTAAGTCAGTAAATATTTTAAGAACTCAAACCGAAAATTTTGATTTTACAGAAATTGTGAAGTACCATCATTACCCCAATGATTTGGATGAAGGTGCCATAGCCTTTTCTGTTGGGCAATGGTTCTCTCAGGAGGCCCACAAGTTTAAAACCGCATCGTGAGTTTTTATTTTTGTCCCTAGGTCCTTTATTGTTTTAATTAAATTTACCTGTTCGGGAAAAAAAAGAAATTGGATATTTTTGAAAAAATAATTACTCAGCAGTTCTACGTTATCTCATTATGAAAGTGTTCTGGGAAGAAGAGAGGAAACTGGGTGACTAAATTTATGAACACATCATTAGTTTTGACTATTCATGAAGAATCTTTCGGTTTGACCCTTTGCACTCAAATTTTTTTTAAGGTCATCTGCCCCCAACTCTGATTTAATTTGGCCGAAATCGCGATAAAAATCAGCGTGAGAGCAAAGATTAACAAGAGGTTAGAAAACGAGCGATGGCTCCCCAGTGACACGAGTGAACAGATTGGCCCAGATATTCCGGACCACATTTCACCAAAAACTGCTGTTTGTCAAACCGCCGTCAACACCTACCAAGCGGCGAGTAGGCCTTCGGCCATGCTCGGCAATCTTCGTAGCCAATCAGGTTGCCGCTCGCCGCCCGTAATCTCGAAGAAGGTTCGGCTCCTACCCCACCTTACACTTTTCGAATTTTGGATATTTTGGATTTTGGCATTCGGCCTGATTCTCTTTTCCGTAATTAATAACAATAAAAAATTCATTTAATCATTACTTAGCGGCACCTTGTCCAATTTGTGCCTAGCGCCTCTACAACTTTGCAAATTTGGACGTTACCTTTTGAACATTTCATCCCCTCCCTTTGAAATTACTTTGAATAAGTACACTTCACATATCACACGGGACTTTTATCTGCATATTTACTTGGCTTTATTCGCAAAGGATCTTTTAAGAAGTAAATTCTTTCGATAACTTATTGGGGATGGTCAAGTCACCAATTAGAGCCCGTCATTCCATGCCATTATTATTACAGGACTAGGTTTCTTACCTATAATTTGATGGGCACCGTGAGAATAATAGATAACCGTATTTGATCCGTGCCTTAAAAAATGAACTGCTGGTGGCAGAACCATCTTGGTGATGTTCATTAGGAATTTTAGACTTTATTCTATTTTTTCAGCAGATGAACCTTACATGGTAACTTGTAAAGTTTTGCCTCATTTTCCTTGAGTTCTACTTAGTTTGATGCCAAAAAACAAGAAAATTCATGGAGAAACGTGCCTTAAAGGTGATAGTTCCCCCTCATACTTACTATCAGAGTTCCAACGGAAAAAATCTTGTTGTCATAGGTAAATACGGTTTCCATTGCTTCTTCAGCTGCTAATAGACAACTATGCGGGTTTGCTGGAGAATTTGGTGACTGCTAGGATTGTTAATTAGTATCTCCGAAGCCTGGTTGTTATAGCTAAACTTAAAGCATTGGCTTCAACGCATCGCAAAACCAGAACCTTGGAGAGACCAGTGAACATCCATGAGAAAGTGAGTGAGGAGCAAGGTACCTAGCATTGTACATCCGTCTGGTTTTCACGACTACCGTTCCCAGGGATTTAGGATTCAGATTCGCACATCAACCAGTAAGCTTTTCTCCCAATCATCTTGATATAGAGGCAGCTATGCAAGGCGCAGCCAGATAGTCCAATGCTCAAGCCACTTAATCAACACAAATATTATCCTAACTTACAACAAAATGACTTGTTTCTTCTCTAACAATGGAACCGGAAAATGTTACTTTGAATGCGCGAGAAACTTCTTTGGTCGAGATGAAGAAACGTAAATGAAGAAATGAGTCCGGAACATCTCGACCAGGTACAGGCCGCTTTGTTTACATTAGGAGTCTGGAGTATCTCGCCGCAATTTCACTTGAAATCACCATGAACAGATCAACGGGGTAACTGATATTTGATTTTACGAAAGGGATAAATGTTAGACGCGGACGAAAGTTCTTTTGTCGAGGTGAAGAAACGCTAACGCTGAGAAATTGAGTCTGGAACATCTCGAGGAAGTCCGCTCGGGGTACGCTTTGTTTATGTCCGGACTATGTCGCCGTTCGTTTGTTTACATTAGGAGCGAGTTTGACACCGATGACAGACTTTGGTTTTTGATGAAAATTTGGTCTGGAATATCTGGGCCAAACGCAAAAACCCAGTGACACCTAGCGGTGAAATTTGGAACTCAGGTGACTCAAGTAGTTCCGTAGTGTCACCAGAGAGCGCAGCAGGTTTCCATGGCCATTATTTCGGAAATTTTGTCGAGCACAGCTCGACACCTGAGCGGAACCCCTGAATCAATTTTGTCGAGACCTGCTCGACACCTGAGTGGAAAGGGTTAAATTTCCTCCTATGAAATAAATTGAAAAACATTTCATCATCATTAAATTCGATACGTCAAGCTAACATTCACCCAGAAGTTTTTAGTTAACAGTAATGCCAATTTTAATTGAAGGTCTGGCCAGATAAGATGGTTTTCTAATTCTCATTAAATTACTGTTATGCAGGAAGGCACCAGAAGTGTCTATAATAGAAGAGCTTGAAGAAAGTGACGATGATAGCTCTGCCCATGAGAGTGGTGATGATGGCCATAACAGCCATGATGACGGCGAACAGACAAATGATAATGATTAAACCGATAGTGACGGCGAACAGACAAATGATAATGATGAAACCGATATTGACGGCGAACAGACCAATGATAATGATGAAAACGACAATGACAGCGAACCAAAAGACTGTGATGATGGTAGTGATGGGGACACCATTTTAGAGATTACCAGGTATGCATTATCATATGTGGCATGTTGTAGAATCCTGTTTCCTGAATCATGTTTCTTATTGAATGACATAAGAACATGTTAAAAAAAAATCAGTTAATCATTACTTGTTAACAAACGTAAGAGGAATTTTGCAGGAAAAACTCAAGACAACCCTTGCTGAAACTCTACTAGTGTAACGATTGCCCTCTATCATACAGGGATGCTGTAACTTCCCAAGCACGTGACCAGCCCGGTTGTGTGTTGGTCGCTTGAAATGGGAGAACCCCTGCGAGAATGGGAAAAACCGGGGGGAGACTCCTTGAAAATAAGATGAAATTGGAGAATCCTGTCTGATTTTTGCAAGATTTTCCCTTTTATTGGCTGTCCAATTGTTTTGGGTTAAAAGTTTAGTTTTTTTTTTGTCTTGAGGGGAGGCGATCATGAATTTTGGTTACAATAAGGGGAGGCCAATTGAGTCTAGCGGAAGGCTAGGAACTTTCTGCACCCCTGCTATTGCCTATTCTTATTTTCTGTTTAATAATTTTCAGAACTAATTCTCAAAAGAACCTCGAGGACAGTCCATCACTTATATCCAACAATATGATGACTGATATGTCTGGAGGCGAAGACTCATCTGATGTGATCTAGGAATCGTACCAACCTATCGTACCAATTGCTCCAACCTACTTTTTCTTTTAAAGTGTATTTAGTGTAGTTTTCTTCTAGAATTTCAATATTTCAATTTTAACTGCATTTTCTAAGTTTTTCAACTTTTATCTGACAATGACATTTTATTATTATTCCTAACATTTAAAATGTATTCCTTTTTAAATGTATTCCTTCTTGCCCAGGGTGTTGTTTGTTTTCAAACTCAAACTGGGGGCTCTCTGCGTACCCCGATTTTTCCCGAAGTTTAGGAAAAGCCTATTGACATGCAGTTCGGGTGACATGAAATTTAATGTTATTATTATCCGCGAAAGCTTTCTTTAATTTATCATAGTCCTTTTTACTTTTTACAATAACCTTAATTTGAGATGTATTCACCATTTGCATTTTGATATCATTTACAATCGGATCTAAAAGTTGCTTTTTGAATAAAATTGGATTTCCTGTATCTGAAACAAAGAGTGGGGGAGGAGGAAAAGGTTTTTCTTCCTCATTCTCTGGTGCACTAAACTTTTTCATAGAATTTAATTGAGTCTGTTTGACAGTAACATTATCAATTACAGCCTTAGGCTGATAATTAGTATTTCTTTTGTAATTTATACAAATAAATGAATTCTAAAATTAAAAAAAAATATTGTATACTTTCATGCAAACATTTAATCCATTTTGTTTTCATTGTGTAACCCTCATTGCTTAAATTGATATATTTTGCATTTTTTACTCTTTTGAACATGAGTTCTACAGTGTACCCTTGATATTAATTATATTCGCTTTGTTGAAATTTTCTAAAACTGAATAATGAGATTTTCAACAAAGAACTTAATTTCATGTACGATGATTTTAAAGATTCTCAAGGATCATCGAGTATTGCTCAAGATCACCATCATTTTCCTTTTTTTTAGTAGAGTGAATACATAGTAGAAGGAATTTATATAAAGGTGTCAAAAGTGAACATTTGTACATCAGCTTTACATTTAACTAAAATTTATTATAGCTTTTTAACCTAACATTTTTTTACATAAAAATTATACAACTTTCATTACTTGAGGCCAAATAACTTTTTTTACATGAAGGCTGCATATTAAGGTGCTAAAAGTGAACGTTTATACATAAGCTTTACATAACAAAAACCTTTTTTTAATATAAAAATTTTGCAACTTTCATAACTTGAGGACAGGTTTAACTTTTTTTTATATAAAAGTTAATTATAAATGTTCACTTTTAGCACCTTTGTATATATCCTTTATATACAAAAATGTATTTTTTGTAAATAAAAAACTTTCTTGTAAGACGCTCTGCTACTAGGGAAGCTTTAAATAATAAAAATATTTTTTTTTATATTACAATTTTACATCTTTCATAACTTGAGGACAGGTTTAACCTTTTTTTTTTATATAAAAGTTAATTATAAATGTTCACTTTTAGCACCTTTGTATATACCCTTTATTTACAAAAATGTATTTTTTGTATATAAAAAAATAACTTTTTTGTAGGACGCTCTGCTACTAGGGGTCGGAGGCAAGAATAAATACAAAATGTCACAGCAGAAAGCTGCAAGACCAGCACTTCCTAAAAAGGGAATGGAAGTATTAAGAGGTCCGTACATTATTTTAACCTTTACATTATCTAGTTCAGCTTTTCCCAGTTTTTTTTTTTTCTTCTTATTTTTTAGGTCAAAGTTGTTAAGTAAAACATTTCGAAATACCTCATGGATATTTGTTGTAGTTACAAGTTGAATGATTCAAGATTCAGGCATGTGAAAGACTGAGTTGCTACTGACCAGCAAACATAGTTAAAATGACTCCTAATTATAAGTTTAAAATAATTGATCTCGCTCAACAAATTTCCTTTGTAACACAGTTATGGGTTCTTTGTCAAAAATTCAAGTTAAGTAAGAAGAAGTGGAAAAATTATTTTTGTTACACTTGAAAGAAGGCATCTGCTTGTCATATTTTTGCATTTTGTTTCAGATGAATTTTTGAAAAGGCTTCGGAAAGAAAATCCTGCTATTGATTCAGACGAAGAGGAGGAACGGATGGAATGTTTTAATGATGTAATTCCTGACAAGATCAAATACCTCCGGAAACGAGCCGGATTGACGGATTAAATTTTGCTTCATCTAAGTTTTTTTACTAATTTCTGTAACTTCTTTCATTTTTCTTATTTTTTGAAATAATCTCTAAGAAATCAGCGCAAGATTTATCCATATAAATTGAGTTTTTATACTCATTTCTCGAATTTCTTATGTTAATATATTTTTTGAAATTATCTTTAAGAAATCAAGCGTAAGATCTATCCATATAGATTGAGTTTTATACTCATTTCTCTAACTTCTTTCATTTTTCTAATGTTTTGAAATAATCTTTAAGAAATTAAGCGCAAGATCTATCCACTTAGATCGAGTTTTTATACACATTACTTTTATTTTTCTTATTTTTTTAAATAATCTTTAAAAAATCAAGCGTATGATCTATCCATATAGATCGAGTTTTATACTCATTTCTCCAACTTCTTTCATTTTTCTTATGTTTTGAATTAATCTTTAAGAAATCAAGCGCAAGATCTATCCATATAGATCGAGTTTTCATACTCATTACTTTTATTTCTCTTATTTTTTTAAATAATCTTTAAGAAATGAAGCGTAAGATCTATCCATATAGATCAAGTTTTTATATTCATTTCTCTAATTTCTTTCATTTTTCTTATTTGTTTAAATAATCTTTAAAAAATCCAACGCAAGATCTATCCATTTGCGTTTTTATATTTTTTAACGATTTTTGAAGTTGACAATGTCGGGCATTTGGTGGCCTTTTTGGAGATTTGTTTTCAACAGATTATACAAGTGGTACATCGTTTCAACAAATACAGAGAGACTAATTGAAATTGAATAATTGATAACACAACATCATCAAGGAAAATCATTGCTGTAACAGGGACATAATTTCAACAGTAGCACTAACTGAACGTAATCAAACAAGCCACCGAATGCCCGATATGGTCAAGTTCAAAAATCATTGAAAAATATAAAAATGGACGATTAACTTTGCGAAACCACTTATCAGCAACTTTTATCAGCAAAAATGGTGTCATTTTCCTCATTGGGTGCAAGTAAGTTTTTTGTTGTAATTACAGCTGTAAATCTGCTTCAAACAGTGAAAAGAATTTCTTTTTTTCCCTCAATTTTCTGTAAGTAAAACTGTAAAATTTTGTCAATACGCTTGTCCATAGCTTCTATTTCTACTTTGAAAATAGGAAAAAAATGTATTTTTCACTTTTCTTTTTTAAAAAGTTAAATTGACAATTTAATTTTTAATGTGTGTTAATTAAAATAATAAAAGCTTGCTTCATTCTAATGCAAATTGAATCTTAAACTTTTATTCATCTTTGAAGTAAATTAAGCTTAAGATACTTTAATGTTACAGCACATAGCTTCGAGTCTAAAAACTAAACTGAGGTTGCACAAAAACTGAACCGTCACACAAGGAGACATTTTCCTGACTTGGAATTAATATTTCTGCTGGTCGTGAGTCTGCAATCTATTACATTACCTATCGCAATTGCCCTTATTAGGGACTGTTTTTAATAAGCACTTGCTTAAAGTAGAGTCTAAAGTAAAATGATGAAATCATGTGAGAACGATGACTTTTGCTCCAGTTTTTGTGCGCCTCAGAAGAAATTTATTTTCTGTGCGCCTCGAAAGTAATTTACATATCCACAGGAATCATTTCTGTATTCTACAAATAAATTCTGTGAAATGATAACCATGCGATTCCCGGGCTTTCATGGGCTTCACCTCATCACAATGGCCATGGGATTCACCTCATTAGGCCATGGGATTCACCTCATTACCATGGCCATGGGTTACACCTCATTACCATGGCCATGGAAATCACCTGATTTCCGTCCAATTTTCCCATGACCACGGAAATCAAGACGTTTCCATGAAAAAAGGCATGGGACTTTTTTGGCAGGGACTGACTTCTAAAGTGACAAAAATTCTTTAAAAAATTGTTTGGAACAGAAAAAAAAATGCTTAATCTTCCTTTGCAGGTGTAAATAAGGTAAATATTAAAAGCGATAAACAGATGGATGGGAAAATATGACTGAAAATAATGAAAGAGAGAACTCATTCTTTCTTTTTCTTTTCACGCAAGTGGGGTTGTTGAAAATTCTGCAGTATTGCTTGTGGGGCAAGGAGGAACAACGATCAATTTCATCAGTGACATAAAATGATGAAAAATCTTTAAATAATAATCATTGATAGAAATGATCCATGGACTGTAAGCTAGGCACTTAATTTTACAAATGCTGAAGTCACACGCTGAATACAGGGAAGCTGAATGTGGGTGTCATCGGTCCGTTGTTGAGTGGTGTCCTGAATTTTGCGCGTAACGCGAAAAATTAAAAATTCAGCAACCGATGAGGATCGGTTATCAGTTTGTCTGCACTATTCGAATCAAGTTGATGCAATTTTGGAAAAAAATCACTCTTTACGACAATGCAGCTGTTGAGCAATGACTGACGACCCCAATGCTCAGCTCCCAAATTCAGAGTGGGATTCCGGCTTAACATAAATGAACACGATGTGTCCTGTTTGTTTTTCTGTGTTTCCGTTTTTTCTTTCTTTCTGTTTTTTCTTTCTTCCTGTTTTTTCTTTCTTTCTGTTTTTTTTTTCTTTCTGTTTTTTCTTTCTTTCTGTTTTTTCTTTCTTTCTGTTTTTTTTTCTTTCTTTCTTTCTCTCTTTTCTTTCTTTCTTCAACTACAGTACTACAATTTCACAAAATAAAGCTTGCGCATCGTAAGTTGGCTCGGAAAGCCATTTGATAGATAAGCAATTGCCGCCGCGGCTTTAGAAAATGACTTCCGTGCTATAATATACGGTGCGCAAGCTTTTTACAAATTTGTTTATTTCATTAAGCCCTAAAACCTTATATTAGGAAAAAATACTCAGCCTTTACATCCTAAAGTCTTCGCCGTTGGAAGCTTTGATTTACGAGTCGTGACAATGTTTCCTGTCCGAATTTTGATCAAAATGTACATTCCTTCGTATCGTTGGTCTTCTTATTCTCCTTCCTAGTTGGTAATGAACATTTCTGACAAATTCTGAGATAAACTTGTTCGATGATATTTTCCTTGTCTTGACCAAGAAAAGCCACAGTCTCGGCTCCGTGTCACAATATCTGTATCGCAGTGAATTTGTCCGGTTTGACGGTACCATCGTTCAGCAATTGTAACTCATTGCTTCGCAAGAATTTGAGTACAAACAGAAATGAGACTTCTGACCAAGCAAACGTTCTTCACTCCAGCTTGCGGAACGGATTTCAAGATATGTCGATTGTAGAAACAGAATAGAGTGCGATCGACGGGTTGGTGGCTCTGAGAGAGACGGATGTACATGTGGATGTATTGGGCCGATGGCGCTGGACTCTCTTGCACGATAAAGCAAGGCATGAAGGCAGGCGAATGCTGGTAAAATATCTGGATGATGTGAAAAATTCAAATTCTCAAACGGCAACCGATTTAACTGTGCAACAAGGAGCTTGCATACAGGCGATGAACATTTTTTCATTATATTGATTTGATTGCGTAGAGTATTGACGCATTAGAGCAGAGTAAAGTTTCTTGAGATTTCGCGTCGACTGCCTGAGAATTTTGCTTCGCTACGCAACAGATTGACCGAATCATTTTTCCTCGTGGTATGCGGGCCTTCATCTTCGACCCCCAGCGCATTTTTTTTTTTTTTTTTTTTTTTTTTTTTTTTTTTTTTTTTTTTTTTTTTTTTTTTTTTTTTTTTTTTTTTTTTTTTTTTTTTTGAGACGCCTCATAATTATGATCACTGGCATGTCAAATCACGGGTAAGGAGGAACTTAGCGTTCTAAATTCTCCAGCAGAAGACATACTTATGTGATTGTATATACTTTGTATTATGTCCGTAGACATCATGGGGATTTTGGCACATCCATTCTTCAAGCTTTTGAAATTTTCAGGGAAGGCCGAGTATAATCTGTTTCTGCAAATTTACTCGTCAGTTCCGTGAAAATTTGACACCACTGGGCCAAAAAAAAGAAAGAAAAAAAATATTTCAGGGATTAAGGCCGAGTAGAATCTGTTTCTGCAGATTTACTCGTCAGTTCCGTGAAAATTTGACACCACTGGGCCAAAAGAAAAGAAAGAAAAAAAAAATAATTCAGGGATTAAGGCCGAGTAGAATCTGTTTCTGCAGATTTACTCGTCAGTTCCGTGAAAATTTGACACCACTGGGCCAAAAAAAAAGAAAGAAAAAAAAATAATTCAGGGATTAAGGCCGAGTAGAATCTGTTTCTGCAGATTTACTCGTCAGTTCCGTGAAAATATAACGCCACTTGACGGTCAGCCACGCTGACCACTTAGCAAAAAACAATAAAAGAAGAAAAAAAAGAAAGGATGTCGTTAAATTGTGCATGTCTTTGCTGGAGAACCCCACATTGTGAATTTGACGTCCTTGGTTTGCGGCGCCTGCAATATTGCAGATATACTTCACGCGTATCTACTCCGGGAGGTAACTTGCGCGCTCATGCGTGTAAAGTGCAGCGCCCGAGACAAGATGCGCATTTGCGTGGACTTTAATCAACTGCAGGCGTTTATGTTCTTGCATGTGGACATTCTGCGATACCTTGCATTGATTCATCATAAATCTGCAAAATGACTTAGGCTGCATATTAATTGGGCGTAATTCGCAACTCCGTGTGAAGATCTGTACTTTTTGTGGCGGCTTGAAAACAATGAGCGATATACGTCTTCTGGAGTTACAATACCAGCTTGCCGGAAAAGGTTTTGGAGTTGGTTCCTCCAGGTAGGCATCGGAGAGGGAGCTCAGGTAAAAGGTACATAGATGGAATCTAAAGAGAGATGGATAAATGCCAGCTTCCGGAAGATCTCTTCCATGATGCAAATATTTGTCGAGAATAGCAATGATGTGGTTCACTTTCAGCTTTGTTGAGACTGTTAGAACTGTGAAACCAAAAGAAATTTTTTTCATCTGATGATAAGATAGTGTGAAGCACTCGGCCGAAACTGTTGCAGCATTGAGAGAACCATTCTGCTGGAAAATATTGATGATTGGTCGATGTTGAAAACTCAATCGATACTGTTAGCAAAAAGGAGAAAAAGGTTGATCTGAAATGCTGACGATGTGGTGTATCTTGATCACCGAATTTAATCTCGATTAGTTCCAAATAATTCATCAAAAATTGCAAGGACATGAAAAGAAAAAAGGCTTCTGCTGTTAAAATCCGAAGAGTTAACGGATAAGCTGAAGTAGCCAAAACACGATCATCTTCGTGAGTCAGTAGGGATGAACGAAAACAAAACTGCATTCCGCATTAATTATATGGTGGATAATGCATTTTGCTGGAGGAAACTGGTTGAAACGAACCACCCGTTTCAGGGTTCGTAGCAGAGGTTCGGTTTCAGTCGATGATGTATGATGATCCAAGTGTGTCACTGAAGTAGGAATTTGACTGTTTCATCAAGTAAGATCTGCGTCAGGTCAAAACAATGCTTGATATATGCTGGACATAAACTAGTTCGGCTTCACGTCGGCTGCGTTTGTTGATATCGAATCCAGCAACTCAATACGAAAGTCAAGTCCAAACCGGCAAAAAATGGAATTTGCAATGGCAGAGCAATAAAAAGGCCAACAGGCAGGGCAATAGGCAGTCACATAAAAATGACGCTAAGATACATATAAGTTTGAAAGATCAGTGCAAAGATCAACGAGGTTATTCAGCTTGAAATCGAACTACATTGATGATAAAAAAACCCACTTCTACCTCGCAGCAAAATCAGCGACCAAGTTTTTTTTTTTTTTTGGGGGGGGGGTCATGCACGTGACGTTACCGGACTACGTGTAACGCAGAGAGAGCTTTCCTGGTTCGGAGCTGTTTTGGAAAATTTTAATTTAAAAAATGCGAGTCATGAGTCATCCTTCGAGCAAGTTAATACAAAAATTGAGATGGCTGCTCTAATAACCTCGTTGATAAAGGTATAGGATAAAATATATCGCGATCAGATACTATCATTAATGATGATCAAAGAGAAGGCCAGAAAAGGCGGCTAGAATATTGTCATTTGTGGCACATTAAAAACAAACCTTGTGAGGTTTGGAGAGAATACTTTCAAAAGAAGTGAATTTTGCACTTCCTCGGTAAAAAGGCGTAAGAGGCTTCTGATGCTGCTAAGAATGGCAACGTGGGTATTTAATTACACGCAACCATTCTGAATGAATTGCATTTTCAGTGAATGCAATGGAAAATTGCACAATCTTAGCAGCACTGCGCAAACCGTAAACGTCCTTTTACCGAAGAAGTCCTCGATGTGATAACGAGTGCTGCGGGGTTCGTTTTTACGGTTTAAAAGAAATATATTCTCATGATAATAAAATTGAAATTTCTTTCAATTTCCTTTGAAAGAGACGGAGATTCAAAATAATCATGGATACATTAAAAAGATAAAGTGAATTAATACGTTTCCTATTATAGCTATTATATGGCTATTAATTTGCAGCTAGCGGCCAGG